TCGAGGTCACAAAGGAGGAATAGGAGGTCAGCCCAGTCCGCGGGGTCGGCTGAAATGCGCAACTCCCCTCAACGACGACGATTGCTTTCACCCACCGGATCGCATCACTCGGCGCATCGCCAAGATCTCGTAGAGGTTGGGATCCATGTTCGAACCTCCCGCGATGCGGAGAACCCTCCTGGCCAGCTGTGATCCCGCCAGATAGTTCAGGTTGAGCAGCTCCAGCGCTAGGAATCCTCCTGATCTCGAGGACTCCTCCCTGCCCCTCCGTATGGCTCTCGTAACGGCCCGATACAGCTGCTTCCTCGACATCGAATCGATAACCTAACCCTCAATTGTAGACGGTGGACGTTACTCCTACCAGCTCTTTGTCCCCACTCTTGGCCGCCTCCAGTATCGACACCAGCACTTGTTCTTGATCCAAGCCGCTCAATGACGGGACTCTTCCATGATAGAGCAGACCCACCCGTCTGCCGAAACAACAATGATCCAACCAGTAAGGCAGCACACCTCTCTGCAAATGATAATTGGCGTATAGCTGTAGCTCCTAAGATCGGATCGTGCGTCGTGCCAGGGCGGATACTCGCGGGACAGGCATTGCCCATTGAGGGTTGTGGGGCTACACTGGTCCATCCGAAGGTGACTAACGCAACACAACCATAGTCTTGACTTTGGTGAAGGATGATCCCAGAGGAGTTACAATTGACGTCGACCATATCTACAAAGGAGGACAGGCAGAAGAAGGACAGCAATGGTACTCAAATATTGGAATCATGCAGAGGACGATGCATAGGCACGGAAACCGCGGCGGCAAGTTTGCAGGGCTTGCAGGAATCCACGAGTCGTTGAAGTAACTTTGGTCATGCGGACGTAATTGGTCTTCCTATCGTTATGTTTCTACGTAGCTGAGTGTATTAAGTGCATTTTGAGGTAGCATAGATGCGCTCCCGATGGAATTGATTTTACTGGAAGCGAAGTAGGACTTCAAAAGGTGCACATAGCCTTTTCCCCTCTAGTATGAGATATGCGAGCGTCAACCAAAGCATATAATTTATCGCGACAGCCATTCATTGATTTCATGTTCCGTTCATGTTCATACTCAATGGGTAAGTATCTGAACAACCTGGCTAGTATGAAAGTAGTCGACCGTGAATTTTCACGACACTCTAGGAATACAACCAAGAACGTTGAAATCTATGTCCAAGAGGGAGTTCAGACTACTTGATGGATTATTAGTCGTTGAGAAAACAAAAACGATCTTTGTGTTTGGCATGTCGCTGTTATTGCCCAGGCTACCGATCTCTCAGCCACTTTCCACCCTCACTGGTTCCACCGCGCGGTATTGCCTGCTCTGTTCCCAGCCTTGGCCAGTGCCCGCGTCTTCAGATGCCCGGATGTGATGACTTCCGTCGTCCCACCCAAACTTAGTGGCCCCTTGGGACGGGCAACCGATCTCTGACCGGCACTGGGCACGATACACCATCCACACAGATCTTGCCCCCGCATGGGTTACAGGTGATCGCTACTCACCCAGCTTGTAATACTCACATCCTCATAGGGATACCCGGTGCAATTTGCAGGTAGTTGAAAGAGGAGTGGTATGGAGACAGAAAATTGAAGAAAAATGTTTCTCGCTGGGATTGAACCGTGGGGGCGCCTACCCAGTCAGGATCGGTGGCACAGGTTCGGTGCTCTGATTACGAAGACTTCAATCGACCTTTTACAAAACATGAAACACGATGGGGGAGTTCCGCTAACTTTTGCAATATAACTTCAAGAACCAACT